GCCATTCAGGACTGAAATGAGGAAGAATTTCTTCACTCAGAGAGTTGTGAACCTGTGGAATTCTCTACCAAAGAAAGCTTTTGGGGCCAATTTGCTAGATATATTCAAAAGGGAGCTAGGCATGGTCCTTGCAGCTAAAGGGATCAAGGGATATGTGGAGAGAGAGCGGGAATGGGATACTGAGATTGCATGATCAGCCATGATCGTATTGAATGGTGGTGCAGGCTCGAATGGGCCAAATGACCTACTCCTGCGCCTACTTTCTATGTTTCCATGGTTCACCCCTTCAGCCTCCAATGCTCCACGGGAAATAGCCCCAGCCTACTTAACCTCTCCTTACGGCTCAAATCCTTCAACCCTGCCAGCATCCTTGTAAATCTTTTCTGTACCCTTTCAAGTTTCACAACATCTTTCCTATAGCAGGGAGATGAGAACTGAACGCAGTGTTCCAAAAGTGGCCTTACCAATGTCCTCTAAAGCCGTAACACGACCTCCCAACTCTAACACTCAATGTATTGACCAATAAACCATAAGCAACAACAGTGTAGCTTTATAATTTTAAAAAATTTGTTCATGGGTTGTGGGCATCACTGGCGTCACAGCATTTATTGACAATCTCTAATTGCCCAGAGGGCAGTTAAGAGTCAATCACATTGCTGTGAGTCTGGAATCACATTAGACCAGATTATCACACTAGGAAGGATGGCAGTTTCCTTCCCTAAAGGACATTAGTGAACCAGACAGGTCTTACAACAATTGGCAATGGATTCATGGTCACCATTAGACTCTTAATTCAATTGAACCAGGGTCCCCAGAACATTACCTGGGTCTCTGGATTAACAGTCCAGCGATAATACTGCTAGACCATCACCTCCCCTGTATGTAGGGTTCAGTAGCTGTTGGAAGAGACAGTTGTGAAATCACAGTATTGTGAAAGCCACAAAAGAGCTTCTAGGATAACCCTGGAAATTACAGGCCAGTTAGTCTTACGTCAGTGGTGGGCAAATTATTGGAAAGGGCTCTGAGAGATAGGATTTATGGTCACTTGGAAAGGCACAGTTTGATTTGTGATAGTCAGCATGGATTTGTGAGGTGTAGATCATGCCTCACAAACCTTACTGAATTCTCTGAAGAGGTGACCAAACACGTGGATGAAGGTAGAGCAGTGGATGTGGTATACATGGATTTAAGTAAGGCATTTGATAAGGTTCCCATGGTAGGCTCATGCAGAAGGTAAGGAGGCATGGGAAAGGGGGAAATCTGGCAGATTGGATTCAGAATTGGCTGATCCTTAGAAGACAAAGGGTGGTAGTGGACGGAAAATATTCAACATGGTGATCAGCTACAAGTGGTGTACCATAAGGAGCTGTTCTGGGTCCTCTTCTATTCAATTCAAGATCCCATTCAAGAGTGAACTATGTGGTAAATGGAAAAGACCTGGGGAAAATTGATGCACAGAGAGATTTGGGTGTTCAGGTCCATTGTACACTGAAGGTGGCAACGCAGGTCGATAGAGTAGTCAAGAAGGCATACGGCATGCTTTCATTCATCGGACGGGGTATTGAGTACAAGGGTTGGCAGGTCATGTTACAGTTGTATAGGACTTTGGTTCGACCACATTTGGAATACTGCGTACAGTTCTGGTCGCCACATTACCAAAAGGATGTGGATGCTTTGGAGAGGGTGCAGAGGAGGTTCACCAGGATGTTGCCTGGTATGGAGGGTGCTAGCTATGAAGAGACGTTGAGTAGATTAGGATTATTTACATTAGAAAGACGGAGGTTGAGGGGGGGACCTGATTGAGGTCTACAAAATCATGAGAGGTATAGACAGGGTGGATAGCAAGAAGCTTTTTCCCAGAGTGGGGGACTCAGTTACTAGGGGTCACGATTTCAAGGTGAGAGGGGAAAAGTTTAAGGGAGATACGCATGGAAAGTACTTTATGCAGAGCGTGGTGGGTGCCTGGAACGCCTCGCCAGCGGAGGTGGTAGAGGCGGGCACGATAGCATCATTTAAGATGTGTCTAGACAGATACATGAAAGGGCAGGGAGCAGAGGGATATAGATCCTTGGAAAATAGGCGACAGGTTTAGATAAAGGATCTGGATTGGCGCAGGCTTGGAGGGCCGAAGGGCCTGTTCCTGTGCTGTAATTGTCTTTGTTCTTTGTATTTGTGATTTTTGTAAATGATTTGGATGAAGGAGTGGAAGGGTGGATGAGTAAGTTCGCGGACGATACGAAGGTGGGTCGAGTTGTGGATAGTGCGGAGGGCTGTTCTAGGTTACAAAGGGACATTGATAGGACGCAGAGCTGAGCTGTGAAGAGGCAGGTGGAGTTTAACCCTGAAAAGTGTGAGGTGATTCATTTTGGTAGGACAAACTTGAAAGCAGAATACAGGGTTAACAGAAAGATTCTTGGCAGTGTGGAGGAGCAGGGGGATCTTGGGGTTCATGTCCACAGTTCCCTGAAAGCTGCCACCCAGGTGGATAGAGTTGTTAAGAAGGCGTATGGTGTGTTAGCTTTCATTAATAGAGGGATTGAGTTTAAGAGCCGTGAAGTTATGCTCCAGCTATACAAAACCCTGGTTTGGTCACATCTGGAGTATTGTGTCCCGTTCTGGCTGTCTCGTTACAGGAAAGATGTGGAAGCGTTGGAAAAGGTGCAGAGGAGCTTTACCAGGATGTTGCCTGGAATGGAGGGAAGGTCTTACGAGGAAGGGTGGAGAGAGCTAGGACTTTTCTCTTTAGAATGACGAAGGATGAGAGGTGAGTTGATAGAGGTGTACAAATGATCAGAGGTATAGATAGAGTGGACAGCCAGAGACTTCTTCCTAGGGTGGAGGTAGCTATTATGAGGAGGCACAGTTTTAAAGTGAGTGGAGTTAGACATAAGGGAGATGTCAGAGGTAGGTTCTTTACTCAGAGAGTGGTTGGGGCGTGGAATGCATTGCCAGAGAGGGTAGTGGAGTCGGCCTCATTAGGGGCATTTAAGCGGCTATTAGATAGGCATATGGATGATAGTATAAGGTAGGGGTGGAGGTTAGATAGACCTTAGGATTAGGGTAAAAGTTCGGCACAACATCATGGGCTGAAGGGCCTGTACTATGCTGTACTGTTCTATGTTCTATGTTCTAATTAAATGTAAGACATGAGATTTTTAAAAAATTAATCCATGGAATGTTGGTGCTGCTGGTTGGAACAGCATTTATTGCCCATCCCTAAATTCCCTTTGAACTGAGTGGCTTCCTAGACAAGTTCAAAGTTTACCACATGGAGTCGCAAGTAGGCCAGACTGGGTAAGGGCAGTAGAATTCCTTTTCTAAAAACATTATTGAACCAGATGGGCTTTTGCAACCATCAATAATGGGTCATAATTGACCAACTTTTAATTCCAGATTTTTATTGAATTCATCTGCCATGGTAGGATTTGAACATTTATCACAGAACATGAGCCTGCGGTTCTGGTTTACAACAAACTCAAAGCCACCAACAACTCAGACTGAAGTTCTCTGAGTTGGGACCAGACATCAGCTCATTGGTGTGTCATTAAAAGCAGCACCATTCTTCCCATTAATTCTGATCAGGTTCTCATGATGACAAGTGAAAGCAGGTGAGGTTGGAGTGGTGGGTGGTCTGCTGGGTCTTTGTGGTTCGGGGATGAAAAGGTCCCGGTGTTGCAGCCCTGGTGGATTAACCCTGGGGCTTCCAGGCAGAGATCTGTTACCTACTGGTTGCAAATTGGCAGAATACCCCAGCTCCAGAGATCACCAATGTCAGCCTGCAGCCAGTTCAAAGCTGAAACATTCAATGTAATGATGAATATTCAATACTGCAGTGTCTTTGCCAGCCATTTGAATATGCAAATCAAAGATCATGGTTGATAATAGGAACCCAAAAGATATTGAAGTTCATCTAGAGTATGTTTGCTAAAACAAATTCAGCAAAAGCCACAATATTATTCATATCCTACTATCATGTATCTTTCTCCTGCTCCTTTGTATCTTCCATATAATCCTTTTCCTGTCCTTCCACCATCTCTCCTTCGCTTCTTTCTCTCTTTGTGAATTGTCCTCCTTCCTCTCTTTGCAGTTACCCCACAGCGATTGATTTACTGATTGTTTAGAAGACTGAATGTTCTGACCACATGAGTCACTGTGACTATTTCCATCTTATCAGTTGCAGTATTAGATAAGCTCCCAAACAGCAGAAGACCAAAGATGGAGAGTGAACACTTTCACCTCTTGTATGAACATGCACTGTGGTATTCACACATAAAAGCACGTACTTATCAACTCAATCAGTGAATCTCGTAAATGATCTGTAACTGCATTAATTCAATGTGGCGTTTCTTCTAAGATTCTGAAACTTTCTTGCAAAGGATTTTCATAGACATTATACAACTGAAATTCATTCAAAATACAGATATAATTACATTACGTTCAGACAGTTCAGCTGTGAAAGAAGGGCTGGAATTTACAAATCGAATAAAATTTCTGGTTTTGCCTTTCTGTTGTAGCAGTAAGGCTAGTTCATCATTTACCCCTCCCACATATAGACAAAGTTCCAAGAAAAACTGATATACAAAACCAAGCGCATATTTGACAAATTCTACTGATTACTGTATTTCCAAAAGATTTTTTTTCATTCCTTTCCCTTTTAGCTGCCTTTGTAAATTTTAATGTTGTGAATGTAACCTACACCACTCCAAATGGGAAAGGCAGTTCCTACTTTGTTATGTCAGTTTTTTGTCCCCCATTGAGAGTAACTCATCTGAAAGCAGTGAAGGGACAGAAATTGTTGGCTTGCAAGTTTCCATGGGCTCACATTTTTGTTGCTACACTGCATGTAGGTCAGAACATTTCAAATGATTGCAAAAATGTAAGGCTTGCATTTATTTTGTGCTCTTCACAGCCCCAGGACATCCAGAAGCACAGGACAGCAAGCAAAAGGAACATTTGCATAAACATATTTTGAGAAAACCTTTCCAAGTTCAGTACCGTACCTTCGTTCCAAGCTGGTCAGTCATGCATTTCACTTTTTGTATATAATGACAGAATCGTTCATTCAGCTCTTGTAGCTGAGCTTTCTCTGACTTCTGGCCAATAGACCCACAATCTGCCATCTTGTTGGCTGCAGAAAACAAGAATTGCAATTTACTTAAAGGCAAATCTAATAACTAGAGTAGTTCCACATACTTTGGGTTCACCATATAAACCCCATATGAACACACCCATACCCAAACTTACAAACGTCTGACTTACAAACGCTCATACTTACAATCAAGATCCCATATCACTATTAACTTTTAAGGATCCACCATTCATTCATACTCACAGACATTTTATGTTTACTGTATTGCATTCCAACCTGTGTACAAATGTACTCAGGATTGGAACCTGTTTGTTACCTGGGTACTGCCTGTACTGTGTTTTAACCAGCCTTTAAGATGACACCAATTACCTCAATTGGATCAATGGGCTGAAGAGTGGCAGATGGAGTTTAATTTGGATAAATGCGAGGTATTGCATTTTGGTAAAACAAACAAAGACAAGACTTGCTCTATTAAAAGTAGGGCTCTGGGTAGTGTTGTGGAACAGAAAGACCTAGGGGTTCATAATTCTTTGAAGTTTGTATCACAAACAGACAGGGTGGTTAAGAAGGCGTTTAGCATGTTTGCCTTCATTGCTCAGACCTTTGAGTATAGGAGTTAGGACATTATGCTGAGGCCTCTTCTGGAGTACTGTGTCCAGTTCTGGTCTCTCTATTGTAGAAAGGATATTACTAAATTGGAGAGGGTTCACAAGAGATTTACCAGGATGTTGTTGGGAATGAAGGGTTTTAATTATAAACAGAGGCTGGACAGGCTGGGACTTTTTTCACTGGAGCAGAGGAGGTTGAGAGGTGACCTTATTGAGGTTTATAAAATCATGAGGGGCACAGATGAAGTGACTGGCAGGTGTCTTTTCCCAAGGCTGGGGGATTTCATAACTAGGTGCATATTTTTAGGTTAAGATGAGAAAGATTCATAAAAGGTATGGGGGCAATTTTTTTTTACACAGAGAGTGGTTCATGTGTGAAATGAGCTTCCTGAGGAAGAGGTGGATGCAGGTACAGTTACAATGTTTAAAAGACATTTAGATAGGTACATGAATAAGAAAAGTTTGGAGGGATATGGGCCAAATGCAGGCAGGTGGGACCAGTTTAGTTAGGATTATGGTTGGCATGGGCTGGTTGGACTGTAGGATCTGTTTCCATGCTGTATGACTCTATAAGTCCTGATCAGAGCAGAGGACCCCATCCCTGACACTGGGCAGGCAACATAGCCATCTGGACTCACGCTGTTCGCTGCTGAAAACAATGTTGAGTCCCTTCATTCTACTGTCCCCTATACCACTGCATTTCTCCTTGCTCATGCCCCCAACCCCCAACTCTTGAATGGCCTTCGGACCAAAGCATCATGGTTAGATAGTTCCTCTACTCTGTAGCCTACACTCACATCCAGATAAGTTGAAAGATCCTCAAGACAGTCCTAGCAAGACAAAGGTTTTGAGCCAGGTAGCCATTCATAATGCTGCAGTTGCATACCAGCTGTACTTGAATGGATTGAAATCCTATCCTTTGCAAGATTCTTGTTTTCCAAAAATATACTGTATTTGTAAAATTTGTAATAGTACATTCCAAAACATTTCGACTTGAAGATTACAGAAAAGGCAATAAAATCCAACTTGTCTCCAGCATGTTTTGTTCTTAAGTGCCTCAATATAACTGTCATACTCTTGATATTTAGAAAACAAATTCCATAAGGAATAAAGCCCAAGGGCAAAACATTTAAATTTGAAAATTACAGAGACTGCAACAGATTTCAACTTTCCTCGATGGTAACATTCCACTCTGAGATGCCCACAACATCATTTCATTGCTGTTGGCATTCACAGTAAGTATTCCTGGTCAGATATCCAAATTGAAGGGTTCTACAGAGTTTTTAGCTCCTTGAATGAATCCCACTTACACCACACAGAATCTTGGAGAAGTCAAAGAATTTTCTTGCATTGGCTGAGGTAAGCTACAAGCAGTGAGGAAACTTTTTTCCAGGCACTATCTCTCCAATACATAAGCCTTCATGCTTCTAGATTGTAGCCTCTGATATCTTTTTCATACAAAGCCTGCAGACTGAATTTAAAAAGCACCATGAAAGCTAACATTTCAAGATCTGAAGACTTTGTAAATCTGGACTTACATTATCCTCTATTTAACTCAGGAGCTGAGATGACAGGTTTCCATTGTCTCTTGATGATCAAGCAATTGCCAGGCAATGATAATCTCAAACAAGAGACAGAATCTAAGCATCACCATACCCCCATTCCAGCCCTCCCCCCCAATATTCAATGATGTTGCCATCACTGAATCCTCCACTATCATCATCATGGGGGTCATCATTGACCAGAAATTGAACTGGACTAGCCAACTGAAGTACAGTTGCAACAAGAGCAAGCCAGAGGTGGGAATCCTGCAGTGAATAACTCACCACATGACTCTCTAAATTCTGTCCACCATCTACAAGGCACAAGTCAAGAGCATGATGGGACACTCCCTTCTTGCTTCAATGACTGTACAGCCCCAACAACACTCAAGAAGCTTGACACCATCCAGGATGAAGCAGCCTGCTTGATTGGCATCACATCCACAAGCATCCACTCCCTCCACCGCCGATGCTCAGAAAAAGTAGAGCCACTTAGCATCCTGACTTGGAAATTTAATCACCGTTCCTTCAGTGTCATTGGGTCAAAATCCTGGAACTAGTAACTCTGTGGGTCTGCCTACACCAAATGGACTGCAGCGGTTCAAGGAAGCAGGTCACCACTGTCTTCTCAAGGGCAACTAGGGATGGGCAATAAATGTTCGGCCAGCCTGCGACACCCACATCTCATGAATTAGTGAATAAAAAAGTTGAAATTGTGACTACATATGTACCATAATATGTAGGAGTGAAATGATGATAAACTAAACAGAACAGCCAACATTATATCAGCCTTGGTTCTATTGGTAATACGCTCAACACTAGATCAAGAGGTTGTTCGCACATGCCTGTATAAAACATCTGAGCATTTAACCCAGGTTGGCTCTCAAAGCAGGACTAAGGAAATGTTGCATAGTTAGAGGGGTGGTGTTTTTCATGAGGTGTGAAACCAAAGTTCAACTGCTTGCTTAGGCGAACATAGAAAGACCCCATGACAACAAGGTGCAGGGCTGGATGAACACAGCAGGCCAAGCAGCATC